TCACCCACGCACCCACAAACACACGTTCCACATCTTTGTGTTTGCAGTTCCATCTCTGTGCTGTGCCTGGTTGCTCCTGGCTCACTCAACTCCAATTTAAAGGAGGAATGTGTGGGAGAGATTATATGGGGACGTGATTTGGGGAAAGGGGACATACTCTGAATGGAGTTTATAGGAAGGAAATGGGGTTGCATGCTTCAGAGAAGAAGGGCTATTAACAGGATAGAGATGAACTCCCAAGATACAGATTCTGGGGGCTGCATTTAAATCTGTTCCTGTTACTGAATTTAGAACTAAGGAAATTGGCATGAATTGTTTTGCAACACCAGAATGTGGGAAGTCAGCTCCTCCTCGAAAAAGAAATATTTTTGGGAATATTAAAAGGCAGAATATTATATTTCCCAAAGGATCTTAAAGGCAGAACTCCCCTCCCAAGTCTCTCTGCCCCAGACAGAAACCAGGTCTGCAGAAATGCAGATGTGATAATCTTGTCAGAAAGATTGGAGTCAGGAAGCTGGGATTAGAAAGACAAGATCCCTAGAATCAACAATCCCCCCCACCAAAAAATCCAACAACCATCAGCCCCAGCCCCAACCCCAGGGAAGCAGGATATGACCTTTGGGACAAAATAGGATTAATCCACCACCAGCAGAATACCAGAAGGCACACTCAGTCTCAGGTCAAAGTTCATGCTACAGGAACAACTCCAAACAAAAGCCCAAGAAGGTATAAAAACCCACTCCCTACTACATGTGGTCAGTTTTTTTTCCAGAGCCATCTTTCTGTCTGGCTCTCCTCTTCAATAAACTACAACCTTCTTTCTAAACAGTGTCCATCTTTGTTTATTCCCAGCTAGAGGGTTACCTTTACATGTTGGTTGCACCCAAATTTTGATCATGTGACCACAGGGACACTGTCTTACATCAGTTTACTTATTTAGCATATCATACATGGACTAGCAATATACATTAACATTTCACCTAGATTAAGAAAACACAATAAAATATAAATGTTAAAAAGATCTGTGTTCAAATACCAATGTCTAGGGCCATTTAACCACTGAAGTGCAGCATTATTTATATTAAAAAACCCAGATATTAGGCCAGTATATGCCCTCAGTTTACAGCCAATCATGATGTGATCCACAGTTTGACGTGGGATCCCACAGTCACACTGAAGGGAGAATACCGTGCTCCATTTATACAGAGAGTTCCAGCAGACACCGTGTGAGATGCAAATCCTATTCAGGGTTGTCCATTGCTGAGGTGGTCGTTCAAAGCAAGACACCTTTTTTTGTGCAGTCATTTATATGTCTTCCTACGACTGGGCATCCAGCGACCCATTACCTGAGTAATTAAGATTAAATATTTGTGGGATAAACACATTTCCTCATTCAACCAAAGTTAAAACATTAAAATAATAATTAAAACATAATAAATACATATTTAAAAAACAAAAACAAAAATCCCTGAAGGTCACACTCGACGGACCACAAGGTCTTTGCCCTCAGTTTTGTATGTTTCTAAGTGTGAGGACTGAATGTAAGTCGTTTTTTTTCAGTGTTCTCATAAATTTTCCACCCCCTTCCAGCACTGATGATGTTACCTAATTAGATAGTGAAATGTCTGAAAGAAAACAACCAAGCTCAGAGAGCACCATGGAACCCACAATCTACAATAGCAAGCCTCTGAGCCCATAGGATGAAAGATAGTAGATTTCTAAAAACCTTTTCTTTGGTCTATATCAGGGCTAGGCAACCTTGGCTCTTTTATGACTCGTGGACTTCAACTCCCAGAATTCCTGAGCCAACATGGCTCAGCTTGGAAACCTCTCCCTTTCTCCTCAGCATGGCTGGCTCAAGAATTCTGGAGTTGAAGTCCACGAGTCATAAAAGAGCCAAGGTTGCCTACCCCTGGTCTATATTTTCAAACTCCATTGTGCCCTGGGGTATTATTTATTTATTATTAAGAGTTTTGTTCCCTCTTTATTACTTTATAGGTAATAATAAATAAGTAATTCAAGGCAGCGAAATACATAATTCTACAGTCCTGTGAGATGGGTTGGGCTGAGAGAGAAGGACTGGCCAGACTCACCCAGCTGGCTTTCATGTCTAAGGCAGGATTAGAACTCGGAGTCTCCTGGTTTCTAGGCCAGCACCTTAACCATCACACCAAACTGGCTATGGCACAGCACAATTTGTATGCAAATCATTTAATCAAGCTGTCTGTTTCAGTAAATCTTTCAGAGAACAGAAGCTAACATAATCTCCACATGGTACAAACCTAAGCATTTTTCTGAAAATTGATACATGCTAATTATGCGCAATTGTTTACTGAATCACAATAAGACATCAGGGCCAGTGGAAGGGGGTGAAGAAGTCTAAAAACATTTTCAAGCATTTCTTTATAACACCCTCTTTGGTAAATGTCTATGGAGATTCTCAGTCACCCAGGTCATGGTTGTCCCGAAAGTGCTTTTTCAAGAGGCAACTAGACACGTGCAGATCTGTACATTGTGTACATTGGGGAAACAAAACAACTGCAAACGCATGGCACAACATAGGAGAACAAACCCATCAGGACAAGTTTCAGCAGTCCATCTGCATTTAAAAGACAAAGTCCGCTCTTTGGAAGGCAGAGAGAACCACTGGTTTGAAAGAGGGGTCAAAGAGGACATCTAGGTCAAAATTGAACAGTGTTCTCTCAAGGAGGGATACAATATCTATCTCCAGTCTACAACAGAAGCCTTTCAGCAGTTCCAAGAAGGCTCCATGTCCATTTGCACCACTTAGGTCACCTTGAGGACACAGACAAACCTCCAAGTGGCCTCAATGACTCTCTAAAACAGTGGTTCTCAACCTGTGGGTCGGGACCCCATTTGGGGTCGAATGACCATTTCACGGGGGTCGCCGAACAACGCAGTCCACCATTTTTTCCCCCTTTTCCTTAGCTGTGCTACTCCCTTTTATTCTATTGGCTTTTGAAAGCCAATAGAATAGACTCTCTTGAATAGAGTCTAATTCTATTGGCTTTCAAAAGCCAATAGGAATTGTCCAGGCTGCCTCTGCCCTGCTGAGCCCTCCAAAAGTCCCATTCTGCAAACGGTGCTCCACCAGCTGAGTAGTCCTCGACTTACGACCGGTTGAGTAGTCCTCGACTTATGACCGGTTGGGGGTCGCGGCATTAAAAAGGTTGAGAACCACTGCTCTAAAAGAATGTAAATGACTAGTTCTCTTCAAGGAATATAAATCCTTCCATTCCCCACCATCCAGTCAGAGCTGAAGAAGCTTCTTGGATAAGAAGGAGAATGTCTTCAAAGAGGAAAAAGAAAGTCCAATTGTCTCTTGGAAAAGGGTCTTTAGGACCCTCTTTGGTAGAAGTAAAGTAACTCTGACATTAACGTACATAACATAAAGTAATAGAGATTAAGAATGTTTCTTTTGTGGTGTCAGAAGTAAGTCTTCATCCTGGTTCATCCAAGCCGAGGATAAATAAGCAACATGGTGACTGCTTTGGGAAGAAGGTTACAGTTTATTGAAGAAGCAGAAAGATGGTCCTTGCAAGAAAGAGGAGCGGAAAGAGGAGCTGAGCACATGAGCAGTAGGTTTTTATATGCCCTCTAGCCTTGTTTGGAATAGTTTCCTGTTCCTATGGCATGAACCTTGAGGCTATTTCTGAGTGTTTGTCTAGGCCTTGATATCTGTGGTTTAATCCTATTATCACATCCTGCTTCCCAGGTGATGGGGCTAATGACTCCTAGAGTTTGGGTGGGGTATGCAGATTTTTCCTTTGTCTTCTTGATTGCTCTGGCTTCAATTCTCTGATGGTTTTACATCTGCATTCGTATGGGGCTAGCTCTTGCTTGGGGCAGAGAGATAGATTTGGGGCCAGGTTTAGTTTTAAAAAAGTCCTTTTGAGGAAAAATATATTTTTCTGCCTTTTTAATATTTCCTTCTCTGGGCTAACTTCCCTCACCACTGTCCTGCTTAGCACTGGAAATTATTAGCTCAGTTCTAGTCCAACCCGTTGCTCAAGCAGATTGTATACCATTCCAGACAAATGGCTGTCCAGTCTTCTTGAAAACCTGCAGTGATGCAGCACCCACAAATTCTGGCAGCTTTTCCACTGACTAATTGTTCTCACCCACAGGAAGTTTCTCATATGTTTTAAGTTGAATCTCTCCTTGATAAGTTTCCATCCATTACTTTTTGTCCTGCCCTCAGGTGCTTTGGAGAATAGGTTGACCCCCCCCTTTTTCTCCGTGACAGCCCCTCAAAGATTGGAAGACTAGATCAACAGTGAGATACGGTTACCTGGTTTGATCTTTGATGCCCCGGGGAGCAGCTCTTAAAATATTTTGGTGATGATGTAATCTAAGGTAATGCAAGTAGTAATTCGAGACAGTAAGTCAATGGGCGATGTGAATGATGTTAAGTTCGCTCTTACACGCGCATCCACCCCCCACCTCAATGGACATATTTGTGCATAACGCGCGTGGGAGATAAATTCGCACCCAACCCAGGCTCAGCCCACACGAACTTAACTCAATTCGGACAAAGAGGCTCCGGACTGACCCCCGGATTCGCCAGGAATACGCGGGTGTGCAAGAAACAAAAGACGCACGTCCAAGGGGGATTCGTCTCCAAAGCTCCTAGGTTGGGGATCCCCTTCCCGCCCGTGGTTGGAGACCCCCACGGCCGGCCCGCGTGGGGAACTAAGAGAAGGGGGGGAAGTGCAAAAAGGCAGGCAGGCAGGCGCCCCTCTGCACGGCCCGAGCGAGCCGCCTCTCCCCGCCGGCCCCAGACAAAGGAGGCCGTCGGCGCCACCCTGCAAGTTGTCTGCAAGGCGCAGGGAAGGTGGTTGTGGGGGGGGGGGGGGCTGGCCAGATCTCCCTCCCCACCTACCCGCGGGGCAGGGGAAGGAGGGGGGCGAAGGAAGAGGCGAGAGAGGGGGAGGCCGGAAGGAGGGGAGAGAAGGGGGGGAGGTTTGGTCACCGGGGGCTGAAAAAGGGAAGAGCCGGTCTGGGGCTGCCCCTTAAACGCGAAGCGGAGCCGGTGCGGGCAACCATGGCTCCGTCCTGTAAGAGCTGGCTTGCCAATGAAGGAAGCAAGCACCTCCTCGTGGTAAGAGCCAGCGTTTCCCACGTGGCTTAAACAAGGGGTGGAGGTGGGGGTTGTGTGTGTGTGTGTGTGTGTGTGTGTGTGTGTGTGTGTGTGTGTGTGTGTGTGTGTGTGTGTGTGTGTGTGTGTGTGTGTGTGTGTGTGTGTGTGTGTGTGTGTGTGTGTGTGTGTGTGTGTGTGTGTGTGTGTGTGTGTGTTCGTGTGGAAGCCTTGGGACGGGGACGACCCGGGCGCGCAAGGACTGAAAACCTGGCAAGATTATAGCGCTTTAGCTGCTCCTCTTCGTCTACGCGCGCGCGTTCGCGCGGAGTCTGGATTCGGAAGCGCGTTCTCCGGAGCAGGTTGATGGGGGGGGGGGGGGAAAGACGGGTTCCTGTGCGTGTGCAGGACGCTGGCTTGGTCTCCCGGCCGCGCGTGGGAATTGGATTCGATTTCCAAAGGGTGTTCTAGAATCGTGGAAGGGGGAGTGGACTTTCCAAGAAAATTACCGTAATTCGACTCAGTGTCTGTGGAGATTCTCCATCATCCAGATTATAGTTGTCCCAGCCCCTGACAGACAGACAGACAGACAGACAGACAGACAGACACACACACACACACACACACACACACACACACACACACACACAACCAACATTCTCAACCAGATCATTCATAAGACAAGATTTCTCTTGAAACCCACCTGAGCTAAAGACAAAATGAAACTGATCAGTTTCTATCCCTTATTTCTTGTCTGGCTTTCAGCTGTTTTGGAAAATAGGTTGATCCCTTTCTCTCTTGTGACAGCCTTCAGACATGCTATCATGAAGTGATGGGATTCAAATATGCGAACAACCGGTTCTCTGTGTGGATGCCGCTTCTGGAAGTCTATTCTGGGCCTGGGCAACGAAAAATTAGCTACTGGTTCTGCCGAAGTGGTGTGAACTGGCTGAATCCCACCACTGTTGTCATGTCTCCTTTGGTCCTTCTCTTCTCTAGACTAGCCATACCCAGTTCTTGCAACCATTCTTCATATGTTTTAGCTTCCAGTCCCCTGATCAACTTTGTTGCTCTTCTCTGCACTTTTTCTAGAGTCTCAACATCTTTTTTATAGTGTGGCGAAGGCTTTATACCATAGTAGTATTAGTACCTCACGTGATCTTGATTGAATCCCTCTGTTAATGCAACTTAAGGTTGCATTGGCTTTTTTGGCTGCCACCGCACACTGCTGGCTCATATTTAATTGATTGTCCACTAAGACTCCAAGATGCCTCTCACAGTTACTGCTATTAAGCCTGGTTTCACCCAATCTATGTGTGTCCTTTTGGTTTTTCCTGCCTAAGTATAAGACTTTACCTTTCTCTACATTGAATTTCATTTTATTAGATAGGGCCCAGTGTTCAAGTCTGTCAAGATCCATCTGGATCTTGAGCCTATCAAATTTTAGGGTGTTGGCTATTCCTGCCAGCTTAGTATCATCTGCACATTTGATAAGTTCCCCTTCTATTCCCTCATCTAAGTCATTTATGAAGATATTAAAGAGTACTGGGCCTAAGACGGAACCTTGTGGTACCCCACTGCTTACTTCCTTCCGTTAAGGACTACTCGTTGAGTACAATTTGTCAGCCAGTAACAAATCCATCAGATGGCGATGCCCTTTATCCCACTTTTTTCTAGCATTCCAAGAAGTAGGTTGTGGTCTACTTTGTCGAATGCCTTGCTGAAGTATACTATGTCCACATCATTTCGTTGGTCTACTAATTTAGTCAATGTCAAAGAATGAAATAAGATTGGTTTGGCATGATCTGCTGACTTTTAGTTATTACTTTACTCGTTTCTAGATGTTTGCAGATCTTTGGCAGTTTCTTCCAATAACCATGTGGGTGATTGTCCACTCCACTAATTTTGGGCAAGAAGGGCTTGTCTTTGCCGTTTTATTGGCAAGATTTTTCAGAAGGATTGCCTCTTTCCTAGGGCTAAGAGAGAGTGACTGGCCCAAGGTCCCCCAGCTGACTTTCGGCTTAAGGCTGGAGTAGAACTTATAGTTTCAGTGACAATTGACTCTGGGTAGCAGAGAAGAATAAGTGAAAGCCTCATCCTTTATTTGCTACATTTATATTCTTTTACTCCCAAGAGCCCAGGGCAACTTACAAGAGTACTCCCTTGTACACCCACAAAAACTCTATGTAGTAAGCTAATTTGTCAGTCAGCTGTACTATGTGTGCTTAGCCAAAAAAGAAAAGAGAAAAGAAAAGGACCCCCCCGTCCCCCCCCTATTCTGGTAAATCAGATGACCTGATTTACAGATGTATTAAGCTAACAGCTGGTCTTCCCAATGTTCCAAGTCACAGGCTACACACTCCATTCTAGTTTAGTTTAGCAAGGTGTGAGAATTGATTCAAAGACTACAGTAGAAAAGAGATGGAAAGTTTTGACATTAATCACTGTGGAAGAACGGTGGGTGAAGTTGACAGATTTTGCAAAAGCAGATAATTGTCTTCTTTTACCGGAAAAAAGACATCCACATTTATGGGTGACTGGAAGCATCTTAGGAACTTTATATATATATATATATATATATATATATATATATATATATATATATATATATAACCGGAACTTTGATTTATGGCTTTGATGAGTAGATAGGGTAGGATAAAGAAGAGAAATATGATGCAACTTTAAAGAGAGGTTAAAATCTGTTTGTATTTCTAACTGCTGTGAAGAATATCAGAAGCCATTTCTTCATATCTTTTTTCTTTCTATTTTTCTTCATCTTTTTTGGCATTTTTTTCTTTTTCTTTTTCTCTTTTATATTAGTTTGTATTAAACTAATGTTTGCAGTAAACATTTTTTGTTTGGATGGTTTAATTGGATTATTGGAATATATATTATGTATCATATTATAACACGTAATTATAAAATTATGAAAAAATAATTAATTTTTAAAAATTCATTCAGTCTCTATATGGATACATATATTCTACATATTGCATATGTATGTATATACATGTATACTGTATATATTTCTACTGTATCTATCTAGCAATCTATTATCTATCTAGCAACCTTATCTATCTAATCTATCTATCTTGCTATCTAGCAATCTATTATCTATCTAGCTATTATATAACTATTATCCATCTATGTATCATCTCTATCATCTATCTATCTATCTATCTATCTATCTATCTGTCTGTCTGTCTCTTTATCTATCATCTGTCTATCTCTCTATCTAGCCATCTATTATCTATCTAGCTATTATCTATCTATTATCCATCTATGTATCATCTCTATCTATCTATCTCTTATCATCTATCTATCTATCTATCTATCTATCTATCTATCTATCTATCTACTGTAGAACATGAGAGATTTGAATTCAGTACAGTACTACTGCTAAGTATATACAGATCATTTAAAAATTGCCAAGTAAGTAAGCAGCAGCAGGACTTATTAAAAATTATTTTTAAAAATATCATATCTATCTTGAATGAAGAGTATGGACTTAGACCTTGTCTATCAATACTAATAGACATTCTTTTATATTTGACATAAAATAGTAGGTTTATTAAGAAATACAGAAAATAAGGAAGCCTCATTTCTATTGAAACTACATCCTGATGATAAAAAAAGAGACAGGAAAATCTCCTCTTGAAGCAGAGACTCATTTCATTAGCAATAGGCTTTTGAAAACTACAGCAGACACAAAGAGAAGATGTGGAGAAACTTCCCCTCATCTTTTCATTTTTCTGCCGGTCAAGGAGGAGAGGCTGGTTCAGGAATTCTGGGAGTTGAAGTCCACCAGTCATAAAAGAGCCAAGGTTGCCTACCCCTGCCCTGACAAATGGCTGTCCAGTCTCTCCTTAAAAGCCTCCAGTGATAAAGCACCCACAACTTCTAGAGCAGTGGTTCTCAACCTGTGGGTCGGGACCCCATTTGGGGTCGAACAACCATTTCACGGGGGTCACCAAACAACGCAGTCCGCCATTTTTTTCCCCTTTTCCTTAGCTGTGCTACTCCCTTTTATTCTATTGGCTTTTGAAAGCCAATAGAATAGACTCTCTTGAATAGAGTCTAATTCTATGGGCTTTCAAAAGCCAATAGGAATTGTCCAGGCTGTCTCTGCCCTGCTGAGCCCGCCAAAAGTCCCATTCTGTAAACGGTGTTGCACCAGTTGAGTAGTCCTCGACTTACAACCGGTTGAGTAGTCCTCGACTTATGACCGGTTGGGGGTCACGGCATTAAAAAGGTTGAGAACCACTGTTCTAGAGGCAGGCTGTTCCACTGATTAATTAAGAGAAAGGGGAATCCACTTTTAAAAGTAGATTTTTTTCTTGTGGAAAGGGTTTATTAGCTTCAGGGAACGGGAGAGCATAATTTGTTGGCAAAGCACATTCTTTGTCTCCTGCCTGAGCCGAGGTCCTTTTCAGCTCTGTTGTTCTATTGTTCTGTTTGTATGATGTTAGCAACTCCAATCCTTTCCCTAAAATTTTGGAAAATGATGTCATCAGCCCAGGATAAAGGCTGTAGATCAGACATGACTAACTTGGAATTCCCCCCAGATGTTTTGGGTGTGTGAAGTGGACTCTTTTTTTGGGGGGGGGAATATTGGGGTAGATGCAATCCTAAACTTGATGCCTACCTCATCCTAAAGTCATCTGGTGGTTTAATGTGGTTTGGGTTTTCACCCCAAGCCAAGCAATATGCTTTGTAAACTCTGACTTATGATCTAGCATTTTGGGAATCCAACCGATTGTAATGTACTAAAAAAAGCCAAGGCAGTCATGATTTACCCTACAATATAGGCAGTTTATTTACAAAATTCCCCAAATTTCCATTGTTTCATTTGAACAATCCCAGAGCATGGATACAATCCAGTTAAGATTACGAATGCCTGAATGTTTTAATGTTTCAAATTAAAACCATTTAGTGCAGAAATGGTTACCAAAGATGTCAAATTGAACAAAACATCTGAAAACATTCTTAAATAACATGCATGTGGATGAATTGAGAACTCATCAGTTAGAGATGGAACTTAATACGGCTATATGCCAACTGCTATAAAGTCAGAAGGGTGGATGGATAAACAGTCTCTCTCGGAATTTCACAATATGGGATAAGGATGTTTAATCTTTTTTCCTCCTGTTCTCATGGTGTAAATTGGGAGGCCTAGCAGAAAGTTTAGAAAGTCATGGGGGTGTTTATTTGTGTACGACACCTACTGGAGGGCACATAGTCAATATGGATGCTCATTAATGACAATTACAAGATGCCGATGGAAGCATGCACATCTGGGGGAACAGGTTTCAAATGAGTAAATATTCATTATGATATCATGATGCCAGTTCTGCTCCCTGAGCTTGGTTGTTTTCTTGCAGATGTTTTATTAACCAAACTAGGTAACATCATCAGTGCTAGCAAACTCAGAGAACATAAAGGACCCTTCAGAATAACAGAATAACAAATTGGAAAGGACCTTGGAGGTCATCTAGTCCAACCCCCTGCTCAGGCAGGAAACCCTATACCATTTCAGACAAATGGTTGTCCAGTATCTTCTTAAAAACGTCCAGTGTTGGAGTATTCACAACTTCTGGAGGCAGGTTGTTCCACTGATTATTGTTCTCACTCTCAGAAAAATTCTCCTTAGTTAGATTGCTTCTCTCTCATTAGTTTCCATCCATTGCTTCTTGTCCTGCCTTCAGGTGCTTTGGAGAATAGTTTGACTCCCTCTTCTTTATGGAAACCCCTTAGATATTGGAACACTGCTATCATGTCATCCTTAGTCCATCTTTTTATTAAACTAGGCAGGTGCAATTCCTGCAACTATTCTTCATATGTTTTAACCTCCAGTCCTGTAATCCTCTTTGTTGCTCTTCTCTGCACTCTTTCTAGAGTTTCAACATCTTTTGTGTATCATGGCAACCAAAACTGGATGCAGTATTCCAAGTGTGGTCTTACCAAGGCATTATAGAGTGGTATTAACACTTCAGTTTTGATCATGTGGATGTTGCAATGGTCATAAGTGTGAAAAACAGTCATAAGTCATTTTGTAACTTTGAACGGTCACTTAATGAACTGTTGTAAGTTGAGGACTCTCTGTCCTATAAAGGGAAGAGAGTCTTCTTCAAAGGTCTTAAAGTTTTCTATTTTTCTAATGCTGTTCCAAGATGGACTTCCATAATAATTCTTCATGAAGTATCTACTTAGATACCTAGATTCTTGATAAAGTTGCAGATTCTTTAACAAACAGTGGCTTATGGGTTACAGGACTACCTAACTAAAGATGAGAATTAGAACTTGGAGAAGAAAATATCTCCTACCTCAAATCACACTAATCAGGCTTAAAAATTGAGATTGGTCATGGTGATGAGCAAGATAGGAAGGAGAAGCACCCTTCTTTTATTGACCAAAGCCAACGCCTGGGAATCTACAAGAAGTTTAATTAGATCAGTGGGGGAATTAGTGTGTTGTGTGAATGCTCAGAGTGTCATTTGTCCCAGTCAATCCAAGGGAAATATATTTAATGCAAAGCAGATCTGACCATGCACAGCCAACTGTGGTTTATCTGATAGACCATGCATAAACAAAGCATAAGTTAAGTTAATGGATGTGTTGTGAGAACTTTCAAAAGGATCAGCTGTATTCATTTAACCAGAGTGGTTAGGGGTCTTAACAGATCCATTATGCATAAGGTTAACTTAAGTTCACTCAATTAACCTGGCAGTGGAGGAGGGGCTTCTGTATCCTTCTGGAGCAAGAGGACATGAGATAGTGGGCGTTTCCCGGGAGTTCTGTACTGTATTCCTGAAATAGTACTTTTCACCTATTTCATATGATGGGATGGAAATCATCACAGACCAAGTGTTGTTTGTCAGAAGAAGCAATTACCAAGTTTCTAAGGCCATAATCACTGTCTTCAAACTGAGCCTGGACAAATGATTCTCATAGATGTTTTAAGTGTGAGTTCCTGAGCATAGCTGGGGGGGGGACAGACTTGATGACCTCAGTGAGCCTTTCCAGTACCACGATTCCAAGGGTTAATCATTGCCATGTTCTATGGCAGCGATTTATGCCAATCCATCCATCCCAACTGAACCCTTTGTACAAATGGGAACTTTTTGTGAGTTCCAATTTAAGCACCCTGGGGGGTGCCAGATCCAAGAAGGATGCCTGGAGCGAATTGTGTTGTGTGAAGAAGCAATTGTTGTTGTGTTTTTTTCCATCCTGAATCAACCATATTATAATTTACATTAAGAGCTCCCAAGTTAGTTTTCCAAAAGAAAAAAAAGCAATACAAGTAGTCCTCGATTTAGGATTACAGTTGAGACCAAAATTTATGTTGCTAAGGGAGAAATGTGTTAAATAGGTTTTGCTCCATTTTACGACCTTGTCACATTTGTTGAGTGAATCACTGCAGTTGTTAAATTGGCTTTCCTTGTCAGAAAGTCACAAAAGGGGATCATCACATGACCCCGGGATAGTGCGACCGTCATAAATATGAACTAGTTGTCAAGCATCCGAGCATAAATCACATGACCATGGGAATGATGCAATGGTCATAAGTGTGAAAAATGGTCATAAGTCACCTTTTTTCAGTGCCGCTGTAACTTTGAACGGTCACTAAATGAACTGTTGTAAGTCGAGGATTGCCTACAGCCTTTTCTTTCACACTTATCCCAGTTTCTTCAGGCTAGACTCCTGTCTCTTAATTTCTAACATGACTGAGCTAAATTGAAGACAAACCTGAGGATGCCTAACACATTTTCACTCGAACCCATCTAATAAGACAATCAGATAATACATCAGGGGTCTTCAAACTTGGCAGCTTTAAGACTTGTGGACTTCAACTCCCAGAATTCCTCAGCCAGCTGGGGAATTCTGGGAGATTGGTCGGGCTGAGAAAAAGGGACTGGCCGAAAGCCACTCAGACAGCTTTCATGCCTAAGGAGGCACTAGAACTCAAGTCTCCTGGTGATTGGGCCAAAATCACCCATCAACTTTCATGCCTGAGGCGGGACTAGAACTCACAGTCTCCTGGTGATTGGCCCAAAGTCACCCACCGCTTTCATACCTAAGGCGGGACTAGAATTCACAGTCTCCTGGCGATTGGCCCAAGTCACCCACCGGCTTTCATACTTACTGTGGGACTAGAACTCAGAGTTTCAAGTTTTTATCCAGGTGCGTTTAAGGCAGGAGTAGAATGCGTGCTCTCCCACTTCTAGCCTGATGCTTTTACCACTACACCGACCAGCCTCTCCTACTTTTTCTGCCTATTTAACTTATCCATAAATGTATGGAGATTCTCAGTCCTTCAGGTCTTTGGGCCAATCACCAGGAGACCATGAGTTCTAGTCCCGCCTTAGGCATGAAAGTCGATGGGTGACTTGGGCCAATCACCAGGAGACTTGAGTTCTAGTGCCGCCTTAGGCATGAAAGCTGTCTGAGTGGCTTTGGACCAGTCCCAACCCACCTCACAGGGTTGATGTTGTGGAGAAAATGGGAGGAATATTGTGTGTGTTCATCACCTTGAGTTATTTATAAAAATAATAAAGGTGGGATTTAATAATAATAATAATAATAATAATAATAGTTGGAAGGGATCTTGGAGGTCATCTAGTCCAACCCCCTGCTCAGGCAGGAAACCCTATATACCTTTTGATTTATACATCAATCCTTCATAAACCCTTTATGTATTTAGGGCAACATCAGTAATGCATCAAAAACAACTGGTTGAGACTGTGTACATTCCCTTCCTCTCTCTCTTATTTTTTTTTTAGAAAAAAACTTTTTATAAACCTTTCATTTTTCTCTTCTTCCCAGTTCCCAAGTCTCTGATCATTTGTTCCCTGCGTATGGTCCATGACGGGGAAAGTTTCTGCTTTTGAACATGTGGTTTCTAATTACTCTGGGTTTTCCCTCCCTCCTTTTTTCCTCCTTCAGCTGCTCTGGCTGTGTCTCAACGTGGGATTGTTTTGGAAAACTTTCCGACTCTATTATTGCGAACCGCAGTATTACTATTTGCATCAGATGCTGGGGGTAAGTGGTGCAGGAGAAATTCTCCCTTTTTCTTGAAACTCAACGGGAACCGGGCTAATAAGGGTGATATGAGATTTCTGGGGAAACTCAAGGAAGGAGATGAGGACGGACGTTTGGTTCAAGGTGGGGAAAGGCTTTGAGTTGAGAAAAAGACTTTGTCAAGGGCCTGGGAAAGCTGACTCTCCCCTTCTGTTCCCAGCTGCAAACTGACATTCTGGCATCGGCCACATGAACTCAGTTCAACAGTTAGTCTCAGATCTCTTCTGTTAGTCATGATTACACTAACCAGCCTTGTGGGCTTGTCCGGGTGAGCGCTTCCATGCCAGCTCTTCCTAGTGTGGATATCTCAAGGGACAAGTTATGATTCTTTTTTTTTTGTTAAAGTGCATGTTTGCATCTCTTCCATTTTGTTCTCCTGAGTCTCTTGTGCAAAGTCATTTGAAAATTAAAATAAAATAAAAATAAAGACACCAACTGAGGGGGAAAAACAAATTCTTTCCAAAGGCTGCTTTCTCTTTTCTCTCAGTGGGAAGGAAGTAACAGATACTTTTCAAGCAGGATCGTAGATCAGCCTATGGCAGCGTTATAGGTAATCCTCGACTTAATGCTGGCAACTGGGAGAAGAATTTTTGTTGGTAAGCATGTCAGCTGTTCAATGAGCCACGCCTGATTGTATGACCTTCCCCCCCCCCAGGCTGTTAAGCAAATCACTGCAGTTATTAAGTGAATCACGCAGTTGTTACGCAACTCTGGCATCCCCCTCCATTGGCTTTGCTTGTCAGAAACTGCCCTGGGAATGTTGCAAAATGACAGTCACACGACCCCAGTAGGCAGCAAACATGGGAAACTCATGTTGGTTGCCAAACACTTGAGTTTTGATCAAGTCACTCTTGGGATGCTGCTATGGACGTAAGTGTGAGGACCATTTATGTGTCACGTTTTAAAGTGCTGTTATAGCTTTGTATGGTCACTAAACGAATGGCTGTAAGTTGAGGACTGCTTGTATTCTACAGCTAAATAGATGAAACTGATTCTGCACCCAATGCGATAGCCCCAGATCAGAAAGACTCTTGTTAGCGCTTTTCCAGACTAGAAAATTTGGACTAAATTTGATCAGTGAGCTATGCCTGATGAAAATTCATGTCTTACCCTGAAAAGGTACTACCAGCCTCTTTTGATTTTTTGTACTTCGAAGTAATGGTATAGGGTTTCCTGCCTGAGCAGGGGGTTGGACAAGAAGGGTCCCCAGGCCGTGGATCAGGCTGGCTAGGGCATGCACATGTGTATACGCGCTCACCCCCACTTGCACTAGCGTCACTTCCGCAGCGAAAACAGGATGCCACGTGGTGAAAATGGGGCAGTGTGAGTGTCACACAGGTGCTAGCATTTGTGTCACGCATGCTCGTGGCCCCGTTTGTGTGTGCGTGCATGCGCGTGCATAAAGTGCTTCCCCCTCCCTTTCCTCCAGTCTGCAACCGAGAAAAATTAGAGGCATCTGGACTAGAAGACCTCCAAGGTCTGTTCTGTTTTGTTCTGTTCCTTTCCGTTCCGTTCTGTTCCATTCTCTATTTGCTATTCTATTCTGTTCTGTTCTGCTCCATTCCATATTCTATTCTATTCTATTCTATTCTATTCTATTCTATTCTATTCTATTCTATTCTATTCTATTCCATTCCCTATTCCATTCCCTGTTCTATTCTATTCTATTCCCTATTCCATTCCCTATTCTATTCTATTCTATTCTATTCTATTCTATTCTATTCTATTCCATTCCATTCCATTCCATTCCATTCTATTCTTTTCTATTCTATTCTATTCCATTCCATTCCGTTCCGTTCCGTTCCGTTCCGTTCCATTCCATTCCATTCCATTCCATTCTATTCTATTCTATTCTATTCTATTCTATTCTATTCTATTCTATTCTATTCTATTCATCTTCTCTCTTTTTCTATTCTATTCTATTCTATTCTATTCTATTCTATTCTATTCTATTCTATTCTATTCTATTCTATTCTATTCTATTCTATTCTATTCTATTCCACTCCACTCCACTCCACTCTGTCTTTCTATCTATATAAACTTTGGAATAAGTCGTACAGAGCTCAGTGGCTGGATTCACATATTGTACTAAGTTACAGTTTCTTTAAAATATGGTTGGTTGTTTTGGGAACAATTCGCTGGAATCACATAGTGAGCTAACCCCCTGGATTATAAAGCACAAAAAAGATTAAGTTGATATGATTTATTAAACTGAAGCCAAACAAATTACAGTGCGCCTTAGGGTAGTGTGTAAATTCAGCCAGTGTGTGTCTGAACAAATGCTGCTGGGATCAGATTGCAAAAATTCCCTCCTGTGTGAGGCACGTGTCCAAGAATGAGTTCCCCACTATTTTGATCTCAAATATTTCAGAGATTCGTGATGTTCAAAAAAAATAATAATTCCTCATATTTTACAGCGATAGTGAGATAAAATGTCTTTTTTTTAAAGATACATGCTAGGATTAATAAGTGCAATCTAAACTGCAGTATCTGGAAATTTATGTTCATAAAAAGAGGATAATTATGTTTTATCTAGTATTGTGCTGCTTGCTCTCCAGGTTTTCAGCACTTCCTGGTCCATTTTTTAAACACTGTACTGTATATATGATCATTGAAGAGAAATCCATATGCAGTTATTTATAACGGGTCACCAATCTGTGGGCCACGGCCCACTGATGGGCCATGACCTCCTGGCCATTGGGCCGTGGGATAGGCTGGCCATTGCGTACATATGTGTGCACTCACTCACGCCCACTCACGCTAGCACTGCCACTGTGGTGAAAATGGGGTGGTATGCGGTGAAAATAGGGCTGCGTGCAGCAAAAACCGTGACAAAAATGGGGCAGTGCTAGTGATGTCACAGCGCTAACACCACCTTGTTTGCGTCGTGCGTGCTCTTGGCCCTGTTTGTGTGTGTGCACACTCATGTGCATAAAATGCTTCCCCCTCCCTTTCCCTGCGGTCCGCCAGCTGAGAAAGCTTGGAGACCTCTGATTTATAAGATACAGGTAGTCCTTGATTTGTAACCCTTCATTTAGTGATGGTTCAGAGTTACAACAACACTGAAAAAAATGATTTACGACGATTTTGCACCTTACAACCATTGCAGCCTCCCCATGATCACATGATCAAAATATGGATGGTTGGCAACTGGTTTATATTTATGTCCGTTGCGGTGTTTCTGGGGTCATGTGATCCCTTTTTGCGACCTTTGGGCAAGTAAAGTCCATGGGGAAGCCAGATTCACTTAATAATCATGTTACTAATTTAACAATTCCAGGAATTCTCTTAACTGTGACAATAAAGGCTGTAAAATGGGGCAAAACTCACTTTACAGCTGTCTCGCTTAGCGATAGAAATGTTGGGCTCAGTTGTGGCCATAAGCCAAGGACTAACTGTACTTCCTAGTCCTTTTTTTTTTCTAACAGTTGTAACGTATATATGACTATTGAAGACAATCCCCTACGGCAGTGGTGGCGAACCTATGGCACGGGTGCCAGAGGCAGCACTCAGAGCCCTCTCTGTGGGCACGCACGCCGTCGCCCCAGTCCTAGGCCTTCAGCTGGGTTTTATAAAACCTTTTTGCTTTAGGCCTCTGCCGCCGTGTGCAAAAAACAAAAGGTTCCATCAATCAGTCAATTTCAACTTCTCACGGGGAAAAAAAAATCTTGCAAAGTTGGAATTGATTGATTGAACTTTTTAGTCCCACCCAGTCTGCTGTTACCACTGCAGCCAGGCCCACCCAATGGGCCACACCCACCCAATGGGCCATACCCACCCGGCACCCGACGATGCATAAGTGGGTTTTGTGTTGCAGTTTGGGCACTCGGTCTCTAAAAGGTTCACCATCACTGCCCTAGGGAGTTATTTAGAAAATATATTGATAGAGATCTTCAAACGTTCAGTTGTAAGTGCTAGGAAATCAAGAGCAAGGCTCATGTTATTAGTGAGTAGTAACAAAACTCCGCCTTCAGATATTTGATTTCATTAAACACAAGGGTGGAGGCAATGATGGCAACCTGCCAATTAACACTACTTTTTTCTCCTTTTCTTTTGCAAACATACTTACCATAAAAAAAAAAAAATCCCTTCCACCTAAGAGATTCTAGCTACACAAGGGTTAGGAAGTCTATGGAGATTCTCAGTCATCCAGGTCATAGTTATCCCAAAGATGCTTTTACATCCCAAAGATGCTTTTACAGGAGGCAACTGGACTTTCTTGTTTTTCCTTTCAAGACGTTTCGCTTCTCATCCAAGAAGCTTCTTCAGCTCTGACCAGATGGTGGAGAATGGAAGGATTTATACTCCTTGCAGACAGCTGGTCATTTGCATTCTTTCAGAGTCTTGTTGAGGCCTTTTAGAGGACTTAGAGAAGGCTCCACACCCATTTGCCTTACTTGGGCGACCCTGATGACACAGATAAATCTCCAGGAGGCATCAACAACTCTCTAAAACAGTGGTTCTCAACCTGTGGGTCGGGACCCCATTTGGGGTCGAACGACCATTTCACGGGGGTCGCCAAACAACGCAGTCTGCCATTTTTCCTGCCATTTTTTCCCCCTTTTCCTTAGCTGTGCTACTTCCTTTTATTCTATTGGCTTTTGAAAGCCAATAGAATAGACTCTCTTGAGTAGAGTCCAATTCTATTGGCTTTCAAAAGCCAATAGGAATTGTCCAGGCTGTCTCTGTCCTGCTGAGCCTGCCAAAAGTCCCATTCTGCAAACGGTGCTGCACCAGTTGAGTAGTCCTCGACTTACGACCGGTTGAGTATCCTCGACTTAGGACCGGTTGGGGGTCGCGGCATTAAAAAGGTTGAGAACCACTGCTCTAAAAGAATGCAAATGACCAGCTGCCTGCAACTAGTTGAGCTGCGTGTGCATGCGTGTGCACACCGGCTTGCCACTCGCATGAGTAAAGTTGCATGCATGTATAGGCACTCCTCTCACATGGTTCGGTTCCCCTCCCCCCCCCAGCCAGACTGCCAAGCTGCAAAGGTTGGGGACCACTGCTCTATGAAAATAAAGTACCATTTCTGGGATCCTTGTGGTGCCTGATTTATCTCTTAAAAACTGACATTAGGAGATTAAATTTATCCACCAAAACATGCAGTCATTAATTGGATGAAACTAATTTATGCATTTGTTTGTATCCCACCTTTATTATTTTCACAAATAGTTCAAGGTAGTGAACATGCCAAACGCGCTTTCCTCTTCCTATTTTCCCCATTACAGCAGCCCAGTGAGTTCGTTTGGTCTGACAGAGAAGGATTGGATGTTTTTCCCCCCAAATAAGCAGCATTGAGATGAGGGGGGATTGAATTAGCTTAACTTTAAATTAATTAAAAGTAAATGCACTTAACGAACTACACTTGGTTAAATGCAGTGAATATTAAACCAAAGAGAGCTTATTAAAATTGCAATTCCCCTTGTGCTTTTCTTCACATTCCTTTTTCCTCACAATGAAAACTGAGCCGAGGTGGCGCAGCAGTTAGGGTGCAGTACTGCAGGCCACTTTAGCTGACTGTGTTCAGCAGGTCAGCGGTTCAAATCTCACCAGCTCAAGGTTGACTCAGCCTTCCATCCTTCCGGGGTAGGTAAAATGAAGACCCAGATTGTTGGGGGCAATGTGTATATATATATATATGTAGGTCTTTGGTTGTTCGGGTTTTCTCCCACGTAAAATTGGAAGTGTCTTGGCGACGTTTCGACGAAGTCCCATTCGTCATCTTCAGGCTGGTGCTTTCAGCTTCGTGCCTCAGGCACGAAGCTGAAAGCACCAGCCTGAAGATGACGAATGGGACTTCGTCGAAACGTCGCCAAGACACTTCCAATTTTACGTGGGAGAAAACCCGAACACCAAAGACCTACATACAAATACCCGCGAAAACCTCAGAAAACATATATATAATATATATAATATATATATATATATATATATATATATACACATACACACACACACACACACACACACACACACACACACACACACACATTGCTTACTGGTGTACACCGCTTAGAGAGTGCTTGCACTTAAAGCAGTATATAAGTCTCATAAATAAATAAATAAATGTGGTAGCAAATTTTGAAAGGACTTGGGACACCAGACACAGATTTGTGTATCCTGATAGATTTTTTTTAAAAAAGTAAATTTAATCCCATCCCTGAGAAAAATCAAGAACATGGAGTTAGATTTTCTTTTTGTCTCTAGCCCATAATTCTGTCTATCTGTCTTCCTGCCTACCTCTCTGTTGTATTTATTATTTCTCTCTCTCTGTCCCTCCCTCCTTCCTTCCCTCCCTCTCTTTCTCTCTCTCCATCATCATCCATCATCTATCTGTCTACCTATCTATTATCATCTGTCTGTCTGTCTGTCTCTCTATCTTTTTATCTATCTATCTATCTATCTATCTATCTATCTATCTATCTATCTATCTATCTATCTATCATCTATCATTTGCCTGATTTTTATTCCACTTTTATTACTTTTTAAGTATCATGAGGCAGTGAACATACCTAATACTCCTTTCTCCTTCGATTTTCCTCACAACAACAGCCCTGTGGGGTGAGTTCAGCTGACAGAAAAAGGACTGGATTTCCTTTTCCTGGACTAGAACTCACAGTCTCCTGGTTTCTAGACAGATGCCTTAACCCCTAGTCCAGGGGTAGGCAACCTTGGCTCTTTTATGACTTATGGACTTCAACTCCCAGAATTCCTGAGCCACCATGGCTCAGCTTGGAAATCTCTCCCTTTCCCCTCAGCATGGCTGGCTCAGGAATTCTGGGAGTTGAAGTCCACGAGTCATAAAAGAGCCGAGGTTGCCTACCCCTGCCCTAGACCAAACTGGCTCACTGTTTGTCTCTCTCTGTCGGACAGATATACACAACACTTCCTTCTTGGGGAATCCCTGGTGATATGACATTCCCACAATACCTTTACTAACATGTGAAAACATCCATAGTTAAGAAAAATCCAATAAAAAAAATAATTACAATGACATAAAGTGAACCCATTAGCAGCCAGTACCATCCCAAAGCATGTTTGTTTTAGGTCAGAATATTTTGGAGGTTGGGATCCTAACCCCTTTTCATTTCTGTTCAGCTAGGGTTGTGCCTCAGCCGAGCCTCAGCTGCTGTTCTTAATCTCAACTGCAGCCTGGTCCTGCTGCCCGTCTGTCGGGTTCTCCTGGCGCTGCTTCGCGGCTCCCAGAAGGTAAGAGAAGTCTTCGGTAAGAGCATAAGGCAGGGGTCTTCAAACTTGGCCCTTTTATGATTTGTGGACTTCAACTCCCAGAATTCCTCAGCCAGCATGGTGGAACTATGGCCCTTCATGACTTGTGGACTTCAACTCCCAGAATTCCTCAGCCAGCGTGCTCAGCTGAGGAATTCTGTGAGTTGAAGTCCACAAGTCATAAAATGGCCAAGTTTGAAGACCCCTGGCATAAGGGGTATAGGTAGTCCTTCGCTTATGACTGCTCACTTAGCAACCATTCTGAGTTAGGACAGACCCTCCCAAATTACTTACAATCCAGTTCTGACATTCTGATGGCTGCCCTCCCCCCACTGCCACAAAAAGATCGTAAAATTGAATAAGTCTCATGATGGGCCGCTTTATGACTGATGTAATGGCAAGCTCCATTACCGTTATAAGTCAAGGACTACCTGTGTTAGTCTATAATAGAGCGGTGTGGCTGTGACTGACAGTTTGTAATGCGTTTTAGGTGGCAATGGCTTCACTGTTTTAGGATTATGGTGGTATACAGATATAATAAGTAGGTTTTATTGTATTTTTCCTTCCTGGTTGGTCTCAGCTCCAAGGAGGTGACACGAGGCTGGCTCCAGGTATTGATCAACGCTTCGTTGAGGGAGGGGTCTTTTCTGCAATCCTTGAAGGAGGCGGTTGTGAGGCCCCTTCTCAAGAAGCCTACCCTGGACCTGGCTGACTTAAATAACTTCCGTCCAGTCTCTAATCTCCCCTTTTTGGGGAAGGTTGTAGAGAGAGTGGTGGTGCTCCAGCTCCGATGGTCTGTGGATGAAGCAGATTATCTAGACCCTTTTCAATCTGGCTTCAGGCCCGGCTTCAGCACAGAAACCGCTTTGGTCGCGCTGATGGATGATCTCTGGCGGGCCCGAGACAGGGGTTATTCCTCTGTCTTGGTGCTACTTGACCTCTCAGCGGCTTTTGATACCATCGATCATGGTATCCTTTTGTGACGACTTGAAGGGGTGGGAGTGGGAGGCACCGTTTTACAGTAGTTCTCCTCCTACCTCTCTGGCTGGTCGCAATCGGTATTGGTGGGAGGGCAGAACCCCGAGGCCCCTTGAATGCGGTGTGCCACAGGGGTCGGTCCTCTCCCCCCTATTTAACATTTATATGAAGCCGCTGGGTGAGACCATCAGACAGCACGGGGTGAGGTTTCATCAGTATGCTGATGATACCCAGTTATATATCTCCTCCCCAAGCTCTCTCTCAGTGAAGTGGCCAATGTGATGGGCCGTTGCCTCGAAGCCGTGAGGGTCTGGATGGGGGTTAACAGACTCAGGCTCAATCCTGACAAGACCGAGTGGCTTTGGATGTTGCCTCCCAAGGATCATGCCGACTGTCTAGTGTTGACTCTTGCGGGGGAATATATACCCCCTTCGGAGCGGGTTCGCAACTTGGGTGTCCTCCTTGATCCACAGCTGAAATTGGAACATCAATTGACGGCTGTGGCTGGGAGGACTTTTGCACAAGTTCGCCTGTTGCACCAGTTGCGACCCTACCTGGACCGGGAGGCTCTCCTTACAGTCACTCATGCCCTTGTCACCTCACGTCTGGACTACTGCAACACGCTCTACATGGGGCTACCCTTGAAAAGTATTCGGAGACTACAGTTGGTCCAGAATGCAGCCGCGCGAGTGATAGTGGGTGCTCCTCGATACACCCTTGTTACACCTATCCTCCGTGAGCTACACTGGTTGCCTATTGGTCTCCGGGTCCAATTCAAGGTGTTGGTTATTACCTTTAAAGCCCTATATGGCTCAGGGCCAGGCTATTTGCGAGACCGCCTACTACCTCATAGTTCCATACGTCCAGTTAGATCCCACAGGCTGGGCCTCCTTCAGGTCCCGTCGGCCAAGCAGTGCCATTTGGCGGGGCCGCAGAGGAAGGCCTTCTCTGTGATGGCGCTCACGTCTTGGAACCAGCTCCCCCCGGAGATTAGGACCGCTCCCACCCTATTGGTTTTCCGTAAGCTGCTTAAGACCTGGCTTTTCCGGCAGGCCTGGGGTTTATAAAATCTGACCCCTGGATGAATGTTCTTGTACTGTTTGTTTTGTTATGTTTAATGATGTTTTTATTGTTAGCTGCCCAGAGTCCTCCGGGGCTTATAAATTTTAAAAATAAATAAATAAAATAAATTTGGATTTTGCTGGCTTTTAATTGATGTGATCGGTCTGTTGCTTAAAATGGGGCGATCCCTAGAACTTTGTGCTGTGTTTTATTTACATATCTCAGTGTTTATTGTTACCTCAAATGAAATCATTTGGGGAAAAACTGTTAAGAGGTGGCTTTGCATTCTTTCTTTCTTTTTTTTTTGCAGTTGCCCAGCCGAAAAGCTAGGAGGCTGTTAGATAAGAGCAAGGCTTTCCATGTGACCTGTGGACTGACTGTATGCATCTTTTCAGGTCTGTTCCTCCAGCATCAAAGAACTTAGAGCAGTGGTTCTCAACCTTTTTAATGCCGCGACCCCCAACCGGTCGTAAGTGGAGGACTGCTCAACCGGTCGTAAGTTGAGGACTACTCAGCTGGTGCAGCACAGTTGGTAGAACGGGACTTTTGGCGGGCTCAGCAGGGCAGAGACAGCCTGGACAATTCCTATTGGCTTTTGAAAGCCAATAGAATTAGACTCTATTCAAGAGAGTCTATTCTATTGGCTTTCAAAAGCCAATAGAATAAAAGGGAGTAGCACAGCTAAGGAAAAGGGGAAAAAAATGGCAGACTGCGTTGTTTGGCGACCCCTGTGAAATGGTCGTTCGACCCTAAATGGGGTCCCGACCCACAGGTTGAGAACCACTGACTTAGAGAGTGCTGTAAAGCACTGTGAAGCCGTATATAAGTCTAAGTGCTAAGTGCTGTTCTAGATTTCTTGGTTTTAAATCTTTAAAGCAAATCAGTAGATATAAAGAGAGAAAGAGGATGATGGATATCAAGGTAGATAAGATTCAATTGCAATAGCAATGGTTGCCCCTATGGAAGATTGAAGGGCCAGGTTAAGGTAGATAATTGTGGAATAGGTCTATATATGTCAGGGGTCTTCAAACTTTTATGACTTGTGGACTTCAACTCCCAGAATATTCCTCACCCAGGCATGCTGGCTGAGGTATTCTGGGAGTTGAAATCCACAAGTCATAAAAGGGCCAAGTTTGAAGAAGATCCCTGAACTATGTGGTTGCTAAGAGCTGACCCTGACTTGATGGCAGAAAACAAAATATAGAATAAAGAGTTGGAAGGGACCTTGGAGGTCTTCTAGTCCAATCCTTTGGCCAAGCAGGGGACTCTATACTATTCTGGACAAATGACTGTCCAACCTCTTCTTAAAAAAATCCAGTGTTGGAGCATCCACAACTTCTGGAAGCAAGCCGTTCCACTGATCAATTGTTCTCATTGTCAGGAAGTTTCTCCTTAGTTCAAGATTGGATTGTTCTTTGACAAGTTTCAATCTGTTACTTCTTGTCTTGCTGTCGGTGCTTTGGAAAATAGGTTGCCCCCCCCCCCCCGTACTTTGTGGCAGCCTCTCAAATATTGGAATATCATGTTACCCCTAGTCCTTCTCTTTGTTAGACTAGACATACCCAATTCCTGCACTGTTCATCATACGTTTTAGCCTGCAGACCCGTAATCATCTTTGTTGTTCTTCTCTGCATTCTTTCCTATAGTCTCAACGTCTTTTTTGGCACATCATCCATCCATCCTTTCAAAAAGATTAAGTAATCATTACTGAAGTCTTCTTTTTGCTATCAAACCTCATTCACATGAACATTGAAATGTCCATCCATTGCAGTGGTTCCCAACCTTTTCTATACTCCGCACCCCTGTAACGCTTCTGATATATTCTTGCACACCCTTACAAAAGTTCAAAACGAATTATGCATATACACGATAATTTTGAAACTTCTAAATCCAGGTTTTTCCACCCCTTGGGATTTTATTTATTTATTTTATTTATTTATTAAGATTTATAGACCGCCCCACTCCCGCAGGACTCTGGGCAGCTAACAATAAAAACACAATATAACTTAAAAGACAAACAATACAGTAACATTCATCCAGGGGTCAGATTTTATAAACCCCAGGCTCGTACCCCCAGGGGGTGCTTGTACCCCCCCGGTTGGGAACCCCTGATCTGTTGGAACACATCAAGGAAAGAATATTTTCCTGAAATTCAGCAGGGACTATTCTAGGCTATTCATTGTGCTTTGAAAAAGGGGAAATCCATCTGAACAATAGCTGTTCAGAATATTACAAAATGCATATTACCCAAATGTTGTAAGCTTGATATTAAAAGAGAGATGAAAATGGAAGAATTAATAGTTACTTTAAAGGTAGGAACCATAGAAATAGCTAGCAGATGTTTGTAATTTGCTTTTTGGAGAGTTTTAGATGCACAAAAATATAGTGTGTCATTTTAGATAAGAAGAGGTGAATTTAGATGATTACAACGAAAAGAAACATTTATACAATAATCCCAGTTTCTGACTAATAGGGACCCCAAAGACCTTACTTGAAAACTCAGTACACACAGGTTGTCCCCTGTTCTCTAGCTTTCCAGTTTTAACTGAACAGGGATATTCAGTTAAAATACCCTTGAGTACCAGGCCACCTAGAAACAGGCAAAGAGAAAGATATCCAGAATTAATTGGGCCCTCGGTACATTTCACACAAAACTGTGTGAAGACCCTTTGAAAGGTCAAGGCAAATGCTTGCAAAAATAGGATTTCAAATGGAGTCCTGAAAATCAACTGGATTACTCCAAAGGGTAAAAGAGAGAGAGAGAGAGAGAGAGAGAGAGAGAGAGAGGGATAGAGAGAGAGGGGGGGGCAAGGAATGTGACTAAAAATAACAGAAAAACAGAGTTGGGAGGGACCTTGGAGGTCTTCTAGTCCAACCCCCTGCTCAAGCAGGAAACCCTATACCATTTCAGACAAATGGTTGTCTAATCTCTTCTTAAAAATCTCCAGTGATGGGGCACCCACAACTCATTCTACTCATTAATTGTTCTCACTGTCAGGAAATTTTTCCTTAGTTCTAGGTTGGGTCTTTCCTTGATTAATTTCCATCCATTGCTTAACAACAGCAACAACAACATCAAAATAATAATGTTGGAAGGGGCCTTGGAGGTCATCTGGTCCAACCCCCTGCTCAGGCAGGAGACAATATACCATTTCAAGCAAATGGCTATCCAGTCTCTTCTTAAAAACGTCCAGTGTTGGAGCATTCACCATTTCTGGAGGCAGGTTGTTCCACTGGTTAATTGTTCCAAAAGTCAGGAAGTTTCTCCTTACTTCCAGGTTGCTTCTCTCCTTCGTTAGTTTCCATCTGTTGCTTCTTGCCATGCCTTCAAGTGCTTTGGAGAATAGCTTGACTCCCTCTTCTTTGTGGCAGCCCCTGAGATATTGGACCACTGCTATCATGTCCCCCCTCATCCTTCTCTTCATTAAACTAGACATACCCAATTCTGGCAACCGTTCCTTATATGTTTTAGCCTCCAGTCCCCTGATCATCTTTGTTGCTCTTCTCTGTACTCTTTCTAGAGTCTCAGCATCTTTTTTACATTGTGGTGACCAAAACTGGATGCAGTATTCCAAGTGTGGCCTTACCAAGGATTCTTGTCCTGCAAGTATCAGTCCAGTTCAAACCTTGGTTTGAAACACAATAGCAACTTTCACAAAACAGCACCGTATTAATGCACTGAAGAGGGAATGGGGACTGCTTACAGGCTCTGGGATTCAGTAAGAGTTTCATTCAGTACAGAATGAAACTGTAGTGATGCTTTTTGGAAAAGCAATACTATAAAGTGGCTTACGTTGAAGAAAGAATAACATGGCTATCTGGGAATCCATGCTTGGACAAATCAGGACCTTCTTTGAAAAGGCTGCTTTTTCTACTTCAGTAGTCCTTGACTTACGACCGCAATGGTCTGGCAATTTCCATCGTTAAGTCATAATGATTATAATTCAAGGCATCTATGTGACCAGATCTGATTTTACTACCTCTTTTTGTCAAGTGAGTGCAATGCAATAAGCAAACTCTGCAGTCATTAAGGGAATCCCATTTGTTCCTAGGGGCAGGGTTTTTTTTGCTAGAAAAGATCTTCACTTTGTATTTTGGTGAAATGAGCTTTTTGTTCTGTTTTAGTGATCCATGTTGCCGCCCACTTGGTGAACGCTTTGAACTTCTCTATGAATTACAGCGAAGAGTTCCTCGCACTCAATGCAGCCAGCTACCGTGGTGAAGTGAGAAGGCCAATATTTGATTTCTTCCTTAAAAATTGTTGTTTCTTGGCTGACCTTTGGCAGCCAGGCAGTGAGAGGCCTGTAGTAAGCTTCTACTATCCAGATAACTTGGAGCTAAACTGCCAGGATTCTCAACAAATACCATATTTATTAGACATTGAGGAGCTCTAGTATCCATTCTTCTGGGGGACACTGACTTGGAGAAGACTTCCAGGAAGGTCAGGGAGAAAGATGAGGTGTTCACTTCTAATAGCGGGTTGCCCAGTTGTGAGTCTTATTCTCAGGATAAACATTATTCTCAGTATTGCCTTTTTTTTAGAGGGCACTTTCAGATAACAAGGCTTCTCATCGGCAAATCCTTACAATACCAGTTTAAAGACTAGACCAGGGGTGTCAAACTCAATTTCATTGAGGGCCGGGTGGGTGTGGCCAGGGTGGGTGCGGCCTACTCGGTGGGCATGGAGGGAGTGGATGTGGCCTGCTGGGTGGCATGGCCAGCTCTACATCTTCGCATCAAGGATGCCTCGGGGCCTAGACAGGAGTGGGACAGATGTGAGGGTCTCTGGCAGAAAGGGGTGGGACCAGGGCAAGTGCCAAAGCATGGTCCACTGGAGGAGCCTCACTGTTCCTCTCAGGCCATGTGGGGGGGGGGCTGGATGGTGGTGCGGGCTGCCTGGAGCCCTGGGCAGCAGAGGTCAAATGCTCAGCTTGGCCCTTGAGCACCCATAGCACTAAGCCCAGCCCCACTTCCCCAAAGGGGTGCCCAGCTGCACTTACCTCCTCCTCAAGGCTGCTTCTGCTGTGCTTGCTCTCCTTAGCCAGGTTGTTCATGATGGGTACCAGGGCAAAGTCAGAGGGAGACTGAATGCGTTTCAGTATAGATGGCCACCACAAAATTGTACATTGGCTCCCGGCCGTCCGGCCTGGGCCAGGACCAAGACAGTGGGGGCCGCTCCCTCATTGCTTCCAGGATGGCTTCGCGGGCCACATGAAACCACTTCGTGGGCCGCATCCGGCCCCCAGGCCTTGTGTTTGACATGTCTGGCCTAGGCAATGTTCCCTAAATGTACATATCATGGGTGCACACCTTGACTTTAAATTACATTTTTTAATATTTTTGCTTATGTGGAGAACCTCGTCGTCATTCCAAAACAAAACAAAACATGCACAAATGTATTCTAGTTTGGATACATATTTAGGGGATCCAAATTTTCTTTTTAGAGTTCCTCTTCCATTTTCACTTAATTGCCTAGGACACAGGTCGGCAACCTGCGGCTCCGGAGCCGCATGCGGCTCTTTGAGCCTTCCCCTGCGGCTCCCAGCCTCCTCTGCCTTTGCAGAGAGAGACAGAGACAGAGAGAGGCAATTGCACTTCCCTGCTTCTCTCTCTCTCTCTCTCTCTCTGTGTGTGTGTGTGTGTGTGTCTGGGGGTGTGTGTGTGTGTTTTTTTTTTGTGTGTGTGTGTGTGTGTGCGTGCGCGCGCGCGCGCGCGTGTGTGTGTGTGTATGTGTAAAAGAGAGTGCACTCACAGTGTTCTCCGAGGAGCTGAAAAGTTTTCTGGGCGGAGCTCCTCCCTTTGCTGCGTCTCTGAAGGAAGCAGGAAGCAGGAAGGGCAGGAGAGAGCTAGCTAGCCCAGCTAGGCTGACTCAGGAATTCTGGGAGTTGAAGTCCATGAGTCATAAAAGAGACGAGGTTGCCTCCCCGGAGGTTGTTGGACAACAGCTTGAAGCTTGCCAGGTGAGCAGCAGATAGGAGGGGGGGGAGAAAGAGAGAGAGAGAAAGAGAGAGAGAGGGAGAGAGAGTGAGTGGGGGAAGAGGAGTGGCAGACCAAGGGCAGATAGAGAGGGAGGGAGAGAGAGACCCTTTTGACATCTAAAATGAAGATAACACTGCATATATCCTTTTTTTACCTGTGTGTGTATGTAATTTTATTCTCTTAAAGCATTCTCTTGGTGATCATTGTTTTAATAGTATGGATATTCCCAAGAGTCATATTTTTACTTTTATTTTTAATGTGCATATATGTGTGTGTGTGTCTGTGTGTGTGTTTGTGTGTGTGTGTATATATATATATACACATATACACATATACACACATACACATACACATACACACACCTATAATAAAGGTAAAAAAGGATATATGCAGTGTTATCTTCATTTTAGATATCAAAAGGGTTTTGCGGCTCCCAGTGTTTTGTTTTTGGTGGGAAACGGGTCCAAGTGGCTCTTTGAGTGTTTTGGGTTGCCTACCCCTGGCCTAGGATATGTCTACTCTGTCCCCTGCAATTTTGGGGCAACGTTTGAAAAAGGTTCAGATAAGAGATATTGTATGATTTAGACAGCTTGTTTAAATGCTCAACATTTCATCTCCAGAAACATGCCTCTGGATCAGAATGCTGATGGACTTATTCCTGCTTTGCTAAATCATTCATACTGTTTGTGTCTGTCTCTGTTTTCTAGGATCCCAGGAAATTCCTTTTTGCAACAGGTAACTCAGAAGAAGCTTTGTTGAATTATGCAATAAAATCTCTGGACAGTGCTTTGAAAAACAGAAACAAAATTGGGCTCTTAATACCAGCACTGTCATTCATCCTCAGGGCCGTCTGGCTGTGTCTTTGTGTGTGCGTTTGTGTGTGAGATGCATGCAATAATTTGTGCATTTCAAAAAAAAAAATGTCCCGAGACAAGAGATTCAAATATTTTTAAATGAAAATAAACTAAGAAAATTCTAGCTTTCCTAAAACCTAGCCAACACTGTCCCCTTCTTGGACTCCCTGATTCCATATGTAATGCATTTTGAATTTGTTCCACTGCTTTGAAGCTAAATAAATATGCCCAGAGCTGCAATCATTGATTAATAGAATTAAACTAAAAAAATTACCATCAGGAAACATATTGAAAAAATGGGTGGGTTGTACCAATCTGCCCAGAGGCTAACACTCCCCCCTCACTTTTAAAGATTATTTTAATACAGAAATAAATAAAGGGAGAACTAGAATGCTACAAAACAAAGCATTGCTTTGGCTGTTTTGGATGGACCATACAGCTAGTCCTTGACTTATAACCATTTGTTTAGTGACTGTTCAAATTTACAACAACCCTGAAAAAAGTGACTTATGATAGATTTTCCCACTTATGACCATTGCAACCTCCCCCTGGTCACATGATCAAAATTTGGACGCTTGGCAACTGACTCATAGTTATGAAGGTTGCAGTGTCCCAGGGTCAAGTGACCCCCTTTTGTGACCTTCTGACAAGCAAAGCCAATGGGGGAAGCCAGATCCACTTAACAACCAGAATGTTGCAATGCTTTGCAGCCTGTTGCAGCATCCCAAGTCACATGATTACCATCCAGATGCTCCACTATCGGCTTCCTACAGAGTTAACAGAAAATGTGGAAATAAAATGGCAAGACATAATCGCATCTCATTTATTGACCAAAGAGGAAGTGGTTTCATAAGCCTATTGGGGGTCATGTGATCTTCTGCTTAGTTGACTGAAACATTTATTGATGGAGCTGCCAGTCTCGATTGTGGTTGCTAAATGATTACTTGTATTCCAAAAGACTCTGGGATTCAAAAGAACCTGAGATGGAAATGGTTACATCCCATTGATGTCAGGGTCATTGATTCACCCCAAACAGCCGAAATCTCTTTGAAATCAATGGAACCAGTTAGCTGCAAGAAATCTCCAAGTCCTGTTACGGTTAGTGGGATGTACAAGTTGTCCTCAATTTATAACCATTCGTTTAGTGACTGTTCGAAGTTATGACGGCACTGAAAAAAGTGACTTATGACCTTTTTTCCCCACATTTGCAGCTGTTGAAGCATTCCTGGGGTCACGTGATCAAAATTTGGGATGCTTGGCAACTGGCATGTATTTATGACAGTTGCAGAGTCCCGGGATCATGTCATCATCTTTTATGACCTTCTGACTAGCGAAGTCCATGGGAAAACCAGGTTCGCTTAACAACCGTCTTACTAACTTAACAACTGCAGAGATTCACTTAACAACGGTGGCAAGAAAGGTTGTAAAATGGGACAAAACTCAATTCACTGTCTCGCTTAGCTACAGAATGTTTGGGCTCAAATGTCGTAAATCAAGGACTACCTGTAATTAATTTTCCTTTCATCAATCTAGCATTCATCCCCTTTTCTCTCCTGCTCAGATGGACGGGATGTTTAAAAGTGTACCCAGAAGTAGTAATATTTCAAATAAATCCATTAAAATCAAAGAGGGCTAACTGTTCCTGGTCTAAAACATCTGGTTATAACCACTGTAATTTTTTATAGTAGTGCCAAAGGAAATGCCCATTTTTTAAAATACAATTTATAATTATTGTGTGTGCTTTTCTTTTAGTTCCTGGATTAACCGGTGTCCTTATGGTGCTGGTCTTGTTCCTAATGTCTACTGCATCCACTTATGCCATTAGGTGAGATTCCATCTGACCACAATATCAAGCCTTGGTTTAACTCTTCATGGGTTTGGTTCAAACATGGGGAAAAAAAAAACAGCGTTTCCCTTTCTTGGCCACTTGAACATGTGTGGACTTCAACTCCCAGAATGCTTAGCCAGCACTGCTGGCTAGGGAATTCTGGGAGTTGAAGTACACACATCTTCCAATAGCCAAGGATGGTAAACACTGAGGTAAAATATTGCCTATGCAAATATTGCCTGACAAGGATGAGGAAAAAAGATGTGAAAAGCAGCAAACAAAAGGAAAACGATACAACAGTGGACTGACTGAGGTGGCAGCTGTGTGCGGCGGGGGGAGGGTATGTGTGGAGAAGATGGTTTCACATGTATTTGTACACTGCTTTCACACAATGCAGGGTGCACACACCACTTCTGCAGCTCATTTCTGAACAGACTGAATCCTGGCACTGGATTTCGGACCGGGAGTTGGGGACCCCTGCAATTCAATACAGACATTACAATAACAGATTGTTAACAGAGTGCCTTGAACTTCAGCTTTGCTGTTGTTTAACCTGTTGACTATTTTTTATTTCTTTTTTAAAAAAAAGTTTATTGATTTTCTAGTTTTACATTTAAATATTTAAAAAGCAACGTGGCGGCTGAGTTAATCGATAATTCAATAACTTACAAATATCTTTAGTACAAGTTTCAAACTATTACATTAAATATTTCCTCTCTTTTCCCCTTAGTGTTTACTGTCTCATGTTTAAACTAATACAATTCTTATTATATCAATTAAATAAAAATAAATTTCTTACATTTATCAATAATTTTTAGTTTATACACATCCTAGTTATTTTAACATTCAATCTTTATAGACTATCAATGTCCTGATTGGTTTTTCCCAATTTTTAATTTCCCATTAATATTTAAATTTAACATTTAATGTTTATATTTTCCAAGTTTTAAATAACTACAGTTCCCTTTATCCGAATTCATCACAAAATCTAATGTTCAGGATACACATCTTATCTATTTGAATATATTCTATTTCTCATCATCTTACATCAACTAATTAATTAACCTGCTGACTATTTTTTATTTCATATATGCAATATATTACAGGTCAGTTGGGTTGGAAATAGATGCAGAAGCTTACAAATTTTGGACCTGCTTCGCAAGGAGGAAAGCTGTTATTGTTGCAATAGTGTGTGTTTTTGTCTTTTGTTGTTTTTAACACACATTTTTAATGTTTTGGTTTTTTTTTTAGTTTTGTTTGAGAGCAATCAACCAATGGAACAACTTGCTTTCAGAAGTTCATCACTGGAGGCTTTCAAAAAGAGACTGGACAATAATTTGTCTGAAATGGTATAGGGTCTGGATTGGACTAGAAGACCTCCAAGGTCCCTTCCAATTCTATTCTATGTTCTAAGCATGAGTACAAATATTGGTCATAATGTTGGATCCGGTCCTTGAAATGATCAAGTCCAACCACTTGCTTAGTACAGGAATCCAAAATTAAACCGTTCCCGAAATATAACTTTCCACATTGTAATTGAAAGAGAACTTCACCATTTCTCAAGATAATTGATTGCCTTGTCAAATGGCTCTTACTGTTAAGAAATGTCTTCTAAGTTTCATTCGGTGTCTTCCTTCCTGTAACTGAAATCCATTATTCTTATATCCATTATTCCTTATCCTGCACTCTAAAATGATGGAGGACAGACCTTGACATGTTTCTGTGTTAACATCCAATTAAGTGTTTGAAAAAGCGCTGTCATTTCTCTCTCGTTTTTTCTCTTTGCCTTACCCTTTATTTATTTTTTTAAGAAAATCTTCTCTTTTTCACAAAATACTCTGGGGGTAAAAAATTGTGTATTTTCTTTAAAACACCCTTTTTAGAAGGAAAAAAAAAACCTTCTCTGGAATAAGTCCAGGTTTGAGTAATTAAGTTTCGGCCTACTCGGCACTAAGCACATAACAATGGAAAACTCTTTGACTGCCCGGTAATTTATCTATTCTTTTGGTCTTTGCAGGGTTTCAGATTATGACATATTTTGGTATACCCACAACCTCTTTTTTGTCTTCTACTTGTTGCTGATACTGCACGTTTCTAGGTAAGTGTTTACTTCTTTTGAAGGAACATGGTCGTAACAACTCTGCCATATTAAGATCTTGTGTTGTCAGTGCAGGTTTGGTCAAACTACAGTTCAAAAAAAGGACCATTCTATTGCAATTATCTAGAATTGGGATGACAATTATCATACTGTTGTTTCTTCTCCATTTTTAAATGCTGGGAGTTTATATTGTTGACTTATTTTTAAGGGGGCATTTAGGACATACAAGCATGCAGGTGGTAGTCGTCAACTTACAATAGTTCACTCAGTGACTATTCGAAGTTACAACAGCACTGGAAAAAGTGACTTATGACCGTTTTTCACACTTACAAGTGTTACAGCACCCCCATGGTCATGATAAAATTCAGATGCTTGGGACTTCCGGTTTTGCGCAGTAGTGGCCGGTTGCGGGCTTGAGAATTGTCTGCACCCCCATGGCTAATTTCGCCCTGCCAGGGGACCCTAAATGGGTCTAAGTCACCCCGGAGAGGCGACAAAGAAACCGTTCCGTTCAAGCCGCCGTTCCGTTCAACTTGGGAAAAGCCTTCTAACCCGACAGGAGAAAGACTGGCCATATTGCATCAACCAGCCCAAGCTATAGCAACCGAAGTCCAAAAGCACTAACCAACACAACTGTGAACAGTGTGCTTGAAACTGGGCGAGGAATTTGATCTTCTCTTTTCTATTTTACATTTAATTTCCTGGAAAAGATCCCCAAGAAACAAAATACCTCCGAAAGGCAGGGAGGGGGATTTCCGCCCCACCCTTATACTAACAGAAGCGGTGAATTAATCTTATGAAGATCAAAATATATGGAAGTGAAATAAATATAAAAACTGAAACTTAAAACTTAAATCTGGATAAATCTAAAATTGTTTGAATGGTTAAGACTCTCATTTTAAAGATAATTGTTCATTTTAAAAATTGAAAAACAATTAGTTGCTGATACCTAGTAGTGGACGAAGACTATGACAGCTAAGACTTTAATATAAGACCCGGCAAAACCAGGGAAAAGTTAATCTGTGTCTGTGACCTTCAAAGCTTTAACAACAAAGAACAGCTGTGACAAAAAAAGACAATAATCTGGGCTGTAAACAAAGAGAATTATAAATTTTAGAAAAAAATATTTTTTGAACTATTTGGATTACAAACATCTATCTAATTGGGACTCTAAAGCTATTTGCAGAGAAAAGAAAGGAAGAGGAAAACTCAAATTCTTGGCTATCATGGATCAGAGACATGTAGAAAGAACATATCAAGAAAACATAAATACTTCACAGGAGGAGATGTATAGTATACTGCAATTAATTCAAAGAACAATGACTTTAAACCACAAAGAAACACAAAACAACTTTGAAAATATAAATCAATCTATTTTCAAGTTAACTCTACAACAAAAAAATTCCCAGAAAACAACAACAGAGAAGGAGCAGATAAAACAGATAAATGGATATAGAATTGAGAATAGACTTAAAGATGGAACTTAACAAAACAGGGAAACATGATTTAATCCTAGTGGAAAAAAATTTACAAGAATTGGAAAAAACAACTTATCCCTTAAGACTGCAAAATAAATTTGAGGGCAAGAAAACAAATTGGATTAAATGGACTGTAGAGATGTCAGAAACATCGGAGAGAAAAGAAATGATAAGAGAAGCGGAGAGAAACAAAACAATTTTCAATAAACACGGAAAGGCAGAAGTCCTGTGCAAAGAGACTTCTCCTGATTTACTTTTTATATCTACAGCAACATTTACGAACATACGGAAAAACTTTTTGATTCAGCAAAATACATTGATTAAGAAAGACATTGGGCAAAAGACTAAAGTGGAAACTAAGAAAATAGATGATGGGACTTACCAGAGAGAATACTTAAAAAAGAAACAAGGTTAAAGAAATAGAAAAGTTTTGGAATATATATGTCACTCTAAGAGGGATGAATTCTCTAAATACAATATAGTATGTTTTTCCCCCTTTTTTGTTTTCTTTCTTGATATGAGTAATATAAAAAAGTTGAAATGACTTAGATAAAGGAAAGGTTTTAAATATTTAAAAGTGATTGAATTTAAGAAAATTATAATGGATAAAAAATGTTTTGAATAAGAGTTAAAGGACTAGATGACTAGATGTATTAAATGGAATGTTTAAAGATTAAACATATTTTTAATTATGGTTAAAAAGAATAAGAAATTTAGAAATAAATACATATTAGCTTAGGAGGGATATATATTTTAAGTAGTATGTTATTTTTATGCTTTTTTACTCTTGCTTTTCTTTCTTTTTTTCTGCTGTTTTATCTATTCCTTAAGCAATGTACGTGTGAGGTGGTTCATATGGAAAAATAGAGTTAAATTCTTAAATGTAATTAATTTTTGAGAAAATCTTAACCAGTAAGAATATCTAGAATTTGGTGGGAGAAACAAATTAAAATAAGGACTGTAACAGGATCTATGATAAGGCAACCAGAATGATTGGATAGAAAAGAAATATTATTTTGATGTGATTATTATTTTTACGACTATTGGGAAAAATACATATTTAATTGTTATCTATCAAAATAATAAGAATTGTATTAACTCAATGTTTGCAAAAGAGGATATTTGGGGAAAAGACGAAATCAACTAAAACTATTATGTGGATTATGGATTATAGAAATCAATTTTTAATGATTGTTTTACAAATGTAAGCCAGACAACACACTGTTCACCAATTATTAAATGATTTATGTTTTTTTAAAAAAATCAATAAATTATATGATTAAAAAAAATTCAGACGCTGGGCAACTGAATCATATTTATGGGGATTGCAGTGTCCCCCGGGATCATGTGATCCCCTTTTGTGACCTTCTGACAAGCAAAGTCAATGGGGAAGCCAGATTCACTTAATAACTGTGTTACTAACTTAACAGCTTAAGTGATTCGCTTAACATCTGATGCAAGAAAACTCATAAAATGGGGCAAAACTCGTTTAACAACTGTCTCACTTAGCAACTGAAACATTAGGCTCTATTATGGTTATAAGTTAGGGACTACCTATACTTATCCATCTGGTAGGAAGACAAAACTTTGATCAAATGAATCTAAAGATTGATCAAATTGGGGAAGGGTCTTTGATAAGACAAGAATAAGCATCAAAGAAATTATTAGATGCTAAGGAATAAACAGATGCCCGTTGATATCTGGCTACAAAGTGTGGACATCTTTGAAGACCAGCTCCAATTTTGGAAGAGGCTGTTTGGAAATTTAACCCTTTGTAACCTATGAATACGGGTTTTCTTGCTTCCTTTCTCTTTTCTCTCCTGAAAAATGATTCTCTCCTTCACTTTATAATAACAATAAAGTTGGAGGAGACCTTGGAGGTCATCTAGTCCAACCCCCTGCTCAGGCAGGAAACCCTATACCATTTCAGACAAATGGCTGTCCAGTCTCTTCTTAAAAACTTCCAGTGTTGGAGCATTCACCGCTTCTGGAGGCAGGTTGTTCCACTGGTTAATTGTTCTAACTGTCAGGAAGTTTCTCCTTAGTTCTAGGTTGCTTCTCTCCTTGATTAATTTCCACCCGTTGCTTCTTATCCTGCCTTCAGGTGCTTTGGAGAATAGCTTCTCTCCCTCTTCATTGTGGCAGCCCCTGAGATATTGGAAGACTGCTATCATGTCCCCCCTCGTTCTTCTCTTCGTTAAACTAGACATACCCAATTCTAGCAACCGTTCCTTATATGTTTTAGCCTCCAGTCCCCTAATCATCTTTGTTGCTCTTCTCTGTACTCTTTCTAGAGTCTCAGCATCTTTTTTACATCGTGGTGACCAAAACTGGATGCAGTATTCCAAGTTTTGTTCCTCCCGCCTCTTTCTCCTTCCATCCCTCTTTCCAGTCTCATTCAGTCTCCAGCCTTTTTCTGGCTCACTATTTTCGTACTTGCTGCTGAAAGGTGGAATATTTGTGTGTTTCTCAGATGGGAGAAATTAATTTGTGTGTGTATAAGAGAGGGAGAACAATATGTGCAAACAGGGAAACAACTGTTTTTCAAAATGGGACACAGGCAATTAATTTTAATTGCCACTTATTAAATCCATTATTATTTTTTTTCTAGCCTTGCTCTTTTTTTTGTAGTGTGACTTTAGGAAAGTCTATGCACATACATTCTGGCAAGCCCTTATTATTTGCAATCTCATTATCTGCAGTTGCAAATAACCATAGTCTGGAAATAGTCTGGAAATAGGTCTGGAAAGACTTACACGTTCACTCCTCTTGAGTCCATTTTGCTATGTGTTATGCATGCTGAAAATTTTGGACAGTTTTTTTTATACATGGGTAAAGTGTGTTTGTTCATGCCCAATTATTGGCGGACTTATTAGACTCCAGTGTTGTCTGAAAGAGAATTCCTGTGAATATCAAGGGCCACATCTACATCACTATTGGGACCAGCATTTTCATTGCTAAGCAAGTAAGTCACACCTAATTTTATGGCTTTTTGTCATGGTTCCGACAGATGAAACTCTTCAAAAGAACTTTGAGGCTTTGTTTACCTTAAACTTTAAGGATCTTTTATTTGAGTAGCATAACATCAGCACTGCATATTCGAAGCCAAAAACTGAATTCCCTTCCCCTGGACACATAGTATCAAAGCATGATTCCCTCCTCCAGTTAACAATCATAAATCACATTCCCCAATTAGCTTGAAGCACAGGCTTCCTCTCCAGCTCTTCAGCCCACAAATTCTTTATCAGTTCTGGGCTCAATAACCTTGATTCTCACACTAAGTTTAGTGTTGTTATGTCTAGTTGGACTCTCACCTCTCTACCTCCCAGCATTAAAAGCAAAAGGAAAAAGATGGCTACATTTCCATCTATTGTCAATGCAAAAACATCATTGTTGTTAAGTGAATCACTTAACCATCCTGAGCCCAAGGGAGGGGCCAAATGCATCAACAGTCTCGAATCCCTTTTGAGTTCACAAGAGATCTACATCCAGCTCATTGTGAATTCTGTTGACTTATCTACC